GCTGCGATGAACAGGCGAGCGGTCTCCTCGGCTGAGATCGACTTTTTGCACGCAGCGAAGTGTGCCATCTTCGTCAGCCTATCCACGACGACCATCACCGCGTCGTTACCCCCAGGGTTCGAAGGTAACCCTGTGACGAAGTCCATGGTTACTTGCTGCCAGGCGCGTTCGGGCGGTGGGATCGGCTGCAATTGACCCGCCTTCCGCTTCCTTGAACTCTTCATCACCTGACACGTCGGGCACGAGCCCACGTGCTGCTGTACGTCGGTCAACAGCTCCGGCCAGTAATAGTACCGCTGCAGTTGCTGTCGCGTTTTTTCGACCCCGAAATGTCCCGAGGTAATCCCGTCGTGTGCCTCCTGCAGTAGCAGCTCCCTCAGTAGTGAGTACGCGGGTACCCAAATGCGGTTGGTGCCTGTTTTTACGTAATAGACTCCTTTTGCTTCTGCCAGTTGCTGTGAATTTCCGGTCGTGAAAAATGGGTCGGTGCGGTATCCGTGGGTGAATAGGCCAGTTAAAAGCGGGTTGGTCTGGGCGAGTAGGATGGCGTGGAGTTGGGCGGTGGGGCGGGTGAGAGCGTCGGCGATGTTGGATGCTCCTTTTTTGTACGTGACGGTGTAGTGAAAATTGGACTCAAGATAGTCCAACCAGCGAATCTGTCGTGGGTTGAGATTCGGTTGGGCGCGAAGGTACTGTAGTGAGCGGTGGTCTGTCCGTACTGTCACGTCGGCGCCAGTCAGGTAACATCGCCAAACTTTGAACGCGTGCACGATCGCTAGCATCTCGCGGTCGTGTATCGGGTAGTTACGTTCGGGCGGGTGCAATTTGCGGGACTCGTACGCGATTGGCTGGAGGCCGTTCCCGAAGTCCTGCAACAGTACTGCTCCCACAGCGATGTCACTTGCGTCGGTGACGAGCTCGAACGGACGGTGGGGATCTGCAATGTGAAGGACGGGCGGGGAGCACAAAATATTTTTGAGGGCCGAGAAGGCAGCTTGCTCTTTCTCCCCCCACGTGTACTCAACCCCCTTCCTCAGCAGGTCGGTCAACGGGGCAGTCAGCTTCGCCATGTCGGGGACGAACCGGCGCACGTAGTTGACGAACCCCAGGAAACTCTGCAACTCGGTCAAGTTGGTCGGCGCGTGCCAAGCCTGAATCGTCGCAATTTTCTTCGGGTCTATTTCCACTCCTGCAGCTGAAATAACATGTCCTAAAAACTCCAGGCGGTCCTGTAAAAACTCACACTTAGATGCTTTGGTCAGTAGGCGGTTCTCACTCAGGATTTTAAAAACTGCTTCGATGTCCTGTAAGTGCTGTGCTCTGTCAGGGCTGTAAATCAGTATGTCGTCCAGATAAACGATGACGCACTTATCTAAAAGCGGGCGGAATGCTTCGTTCATGGTCATTTGGAAAGTGGCGGGGGCGTTGGTCAGTCCGAATGGCATGACAGTGTATTCGAAGGATCCGTAGCGTGTTCGGAATGCGGTTTTAGGGCAGTCGGGTGGGTTGACGCGGATTTGGTGGTAGCCTCCTCGGAGGTCGATTTTCGAGAAAACCCGGGCTGTGCGCAGTTGGTCGATCAGTTCGTCGGCTCGTGGGATGGGGTAACGGGATTTGATGGTAACCCTGTTCAGTGCCCTGTAGTCGATACACATGCGAAACCCCCCGTCCTTTTTCGGTGTGAACAGTATGGGTGCGGCGAAGGGCGACGAACTAGGGCGGATGAATTCCTTTTCGAGCAGGTAGTCGAGATGCTTCCTCAGTTCGTCTAGTTCGGGTTGGGTCAGTCGGAACTGTCGCTGTACTGTTGGCTGTGCCCCCGGTTCCAGTTCTATCCTGTGATCGTGCGGTCGCTGAGGTGGCAGTCCCGTCGGCAGGTCGTCCGGGAAAATGTCACTGTACTGTTTTAACAGTGCCGCCAGGTCACTCGGTACGTCGGTCAGTAGTTTCTGTAAATCCCCTCCCTTGTCTGCTGCCTCGGCTTCCCGAATGTCAACCGCGTACACGTCAGCTCCGGCCGCTACAGCGCGTTTCATCGTGATCGCATTGACACGCACCGACGAAGACTCAGGCGAGCCCCAGCGAGGTAAGGCGATGTGGTTGCCGTTTACTCGCACGGTGCAGTCACCCGTCGTCCAGTCAATTCGCGGATTGTGTCGTCGCAGCCAATCACGCTCGAGTAAAATGTCGGTTCCGTCGAGGGTCGTTGCGAGCATTTCCTGGCTAAACGTGAAGTTACCCCCGCATCGAATCCGAACTCGGTCTACGCGTTCCCGTATTGCCAGCGGCGTGCCGTCTACCAGTCGTGCGTCGATCTCAGGTAAGCATCGGTCCAGTGGCAGTCGCAGTTTTCGTGCTGTAGCCGTGTTAATGAGGCTGTGGCTGGCTCCCCCGTCTACGAAGATTTTAACTAAGTCCGTCCCAATTTTCCCACTGTGCAGTATAGGGCTGTCTACCGTGGTACCCTCCTTATTCGGCCGGGTGTGGTCGATTGCGTGAACCGGCACAATCACTCGGTGAGGGTCGGTTGGGTCGGGCGAGCGGCGTGACCTGTCAGTAGAGGGCCCGTCTGCTACTGACTTCCAGCGTTTCCCTGCTGCTTGGTCTGTGTCTGCTGCTCAGCTTCCCCCTTTCCCTTAGCGTTTTCCGGGAATTCGCTCTTGCGATGTCCCGGCCGATTGCACGCAAAGCAGCGCCCTTTGAACGGTGCGGCAGCGGCATTTGCGGCGACGGCGCGTATCGTGGCGCTTTCGTTCGTCCCACGAGGCCGATGTCCCCAGTTGTTGTTTCCGTAGGACCCCGGTCTCGGTCGGCGAAAGAAGTCGAGCTTCTCCGCCATAGCGAGAATTTCCTGAAACTCAGTGACGCCGCGAAGCTGGATTTCCTGAGCGATGTCCTGCTTCAGGCCGCCGATGTAGCGGTCGATGCGTTCGCTCTCATGCATGTAGCCCACCTGCTCGCATAGCGCCAGAAATCCGCTCGTGTAATCCTGGACGGAACCGAGTTGGCGCCAAGTGCGGAGCTTCTGTCGCGCCGAGATCGAGGCCGCGATTGGCTCAAATCGAGCGCGCAGACCTGCGCACCACGCGTCCCACGTGCGATACTGGGGCACCTCCACAAAATACGACGGCGCCCAGGGTCCGGTTTGTCCTTCCCGTGTCGGTAGTGTCGCGTAGTCGGTCGGCTTCGTGACGATGACGCGCCACCAGTCCATGGCGGGTCCTCGCAGCAACGACACGGCGTATCGAATCTTCGCCGAGTCCTCCGAGACGTAGTTGGCGTCGAAGAAAACATTCATTGTGAACAACCACGCCTGGACGGTAGGACCACCCCGTTGACTCGGGTCAAAGCATGGCGGTCGCTGCGGCTTCAGTGGCATCGGTGACGGCAGTCCCGAATCGTGGGTTGGTGCCGAAATCGTGACGCGAGGCTGACTTGGGGCCGCATGCGTCGCTCTGGGGTGTGTCGTGCCGTGGTCGTCGTCTCCGTCGGGGCGGACGACGCCATCACTGGCCGCGCTCGCGGGTTGCCCCACACTCCCGTGTTGTGATGTTGAGGGTGCAGGTTGAATCGGAGTGCCAAGTGCTTGGGATTGTGCTCTCATGAGGTCATTTTGCAGTTATGAGCGTTCTGCCGTCAATGCCGCGATTTCCTCGGAGCTTTCGTGCAGTTGTCGCAGCAGCTCGTTCAAACGCTCCTGCGTGAGAGTGGTGACGTCGATATTTTCGGCCATGCCAAAGGGCGTCGGCTCGTCTTAGTCTAGGCGCAGTCGTGGCTGCACGCGTTTACGAGAGAACGCGAGGACAGCGGCTCCTAGGGGCTAAGGTGCGTGAGTCCCTTCGAGTGAAAAATCAAAAGTTGATTTCCTGGTGTGCGTAGATGCGCGGTCCGAAAGAAAGGGGCTCTGATAACCAAGTGTTACGGGTGCAATGAATCGAGGTAGCGAGAATTGCACTAAGGTGTCAAACGAGTACAAAATGTGAGCGAAGGCATGAGCGAACATTTATACGCGAAACATGCAAAACGGTAACGCGGTGCGTGCGAGCTTGCTAGTGCTACGCTGGAACGAGGCTCGGGCTAGTCCCGAAGCGTAGGCCGATACGGCCATGCCAGCAGTGCGAGGTTTGGCAAAACAGTGCGCGCGAAGTCGGCGAAGTTCCGTTAGCAGTAACGGGCGAACAATCGGCTGTTGCTGTACGCGATGTAGTCGGCTCCGTAAGGAATGCCGAGAAAATTCCTTACATCATATTATATATTTGGCGCATCTGATTAGTGTAAGTTCGAGAGTTTGAATGGATAAAAGCTCGCACCTCGTACATATTCCTTCCTAGTGAACGGTTCCGACTGGTACGTTAGCTTCAAGATCGGTCAGAGACAGGGCAGAGGGGACCATTGCGCATCCGCCAGTCTAGGAGGCTCGCGTTGCCCAAGCTCCTTGAGATTTCCAGTTTCGGTTTGGTCGTTTCCAGTGTGACGTAGCAGTTCCAAGCGCTTTAGGTGCTCATTCATCGCTTTCGTGATAGATTCTAGTGGCGAAGGTTAGGGCGGTCCAAAGGTGTCAGTCAGAGGGATTCTGCACTTTGTTTTAGGGTTTGATAGGATGGAAATCGTAGTTTATCGAAATCTATCGCCAATATACGTACAACCATAAGGAATTTCAGTTTTTGTAGTCTCAATTCGCCATCGCGTCGGTCGCGGTCGGCATGGATAACAACCAAGGCGCCCCTCGGCCGCCGACGCCTATGGGTTCATCCACGGGTCAAGCCACGTCAGCAGCACCCACGTCAGCAGCACCAACGTCAGCACCATCCACGTCAGCGCAAGCTTCTCCAGCAGCGCCAGGAGCAACCGTCGCACCTGGGTCAACGCAATTTAACCAATTCAACCCTGTTGGATCCAGGCCCTTGGGAACTCCAGCCTTGTCGTATCCAGGCCACAATATCCCCCTGTTTACCGTTCCGCCTGGTGCGCCATGGGTCCCTGCGTCCCTTCCGCGCTTTATGTCCCCCGCATGGGCTGCTTCCCCCTCTTCCGCCTCAGCTTTCCCCCAGGCGGGGGTATACCCTCCGCTAAGACCGTTCTTCGCGCCCATCAGCCCCGCAACCGCCGGAACCGCAGCCTCTTCCGCAACTTCCGCCGCAGGTGGCGCCGCAGCAACTGGCGCAAGCGGCGGCGGAGCGGGAATTGCGGGGCAAGGCGCAGGGGGGCAGACCACGGGTGGGGAAGGCTTACGGGGGTTTTCCGCCGGTACTGGATGGACGGGGGCGGGGGGAATCGTTCCTAGGGGCATGCCAGGCGGGTTGGCGCAAGGAACGGCTGGGATCGGGGGAATGGCGCAAGGGACCTCGGGGATTGGCGGAATGGCGCAGGGAACGGGGGGAATGAGGGGAATGACGCAGGGACCCGCGGGGATGGGCGGAATGAGCGGTGGGGGGATGGCTGGTTCCGCGCTGGTGCTTCCCGGGACTGTACGCGCTACAGCAAGCAGCCTGGCTTCTGCTGTTAGCGGTGCAGCTTCTATCCAACCTATTACCCCACTTGCCAAGGCAGGAAGGATAGCAGGGACCATGGGAGCACGAGCAGCAGTAAGGGGAGCAGTGGGAGCAGGAGGAGGAGCAGTTGCAAGGGGTGCTGGCTCAGCCAATGCTTCTGCTGCTGCTGCTGGTGCTGGTGCTGGTGCTGGTGCTGGTGCTGCTGTTGCTGTCTCCAAAACACCCGCACCTACTGCTACTAGTGCCGCAACTGCTGCTGCTGCAGGTGCTGTAGCAGCAGCCGCTGGTGCTGCCGTTTCTGCTGCTACAAGCACAGCGGCAGCGGCAGCTACAGCAAGCACTGGCGCACTTGGGGGAGGTGTATCAGTAGCAGGTGTCGCTGCTTCGTCGGCTGCTGTTAAACCCACTGGTGCTACGGCCGGGGCTGCTGGTCCGGCCGGGCCTGCTGGAACGGCTGGTGCTGGTAGGATCATCATGGGCGGTGTTGGGCAGGGCGGTATGGGGCAGGGTGGCATGGGGGGGCAGGGCGGGGGCGGTGGGCAGGGCGGGATGGGGCAGGGCGGAGTGGGGCAGGGCGCGGGCGGTGTGGGGCAAGGCGGAGTGGGGCAGGGCGGAGTGGGGCAGGCGGGATGGGTGCTGGCGCAGCAGGCTGCTGCCTCTGGCGGGAGGATGATGGCCTCCGCGCAAGGGGGAGCGCCAGCGGCGCAGGGGGGAGTACAAGGGGCGCAAGGGGGAGTACACGGGGCGCAGGGGGCGCAGGGGGGCGTGCAAGGGGCGCGGGGGGGCGTGCAAGCGGGAGTGCAGGGGGCGCAGGGGGGGTTACAGGGGCCGCAGCAGCAGCAGCAGCAGCAGCAGCTTTTGTTACAGATTCAGAGGCAGAGACAAATGCAACAGATGCAGCAGCAGTTTCAACAACAGCAACAGCAACAGAAACTGCTGCTGCAGCAGCAACAACAACAGCAACAACAGAGGCAGCAACAGCAGCAACAGCAGCAACAGCAACAGCAACAGCAACAAAAGCATCAGCAACAGCAACAGCAACAGCAAAAGCAGCAGCAGCAGCAACAGCAACAGCAGCAGCAACAACAGCAGCAGCAGCAACAGTATCAGCAACAGCAGCAACAGCAACAGCAACAGCAACAGCAACAGCAGCAGCAACAGCAACAGCAGCAGCAACAGCAGCAGCAACAGCAACAGCAGCAACAGTATCAGCAACAGCAACAGCAGCAACAGCAACAGCAACAGCAACAGCAACAGGAACAGCAACACCAGCAGCAACAGCAACAGCAGCAGCAGTATCAGCAACAGCAGCAGATTTTGCTGCTGCAGCAACGTCGTCAACAATTGAGGCAGCAGCAACAGCAGCAGGAGCAACAGCAGCAGCAGGAGCAGCAGCAGCAACAGCAGCAGCAGCAACAGCAACAGCAACAGCAACAACAGCAGCAGCAGGGTTTGCAGCAGCTGCAGCAGCGGCAATTACAGCAGCAATTGCAGCAACAGCAACAGCAGCAGCGACAGCAGCAGCAGCAGCAGCAGCAAGATTCGCAGCAACAGCAGCAACAGCAGCAGCAGCAGCAGCAGTTGCAAGAGTCGCAGCAGCAGCAAGTGTCCGAGCAAACAGGCAAGAAAGCCCAGGCAAAGAGGAAGCAAACCGAGAGGCAGAGGAAGAGACAGCAGCAGCAGCAGCAGCAGCAGGAGAAAGGAAAGAAAGAACAGCAACAGCAACCACCTCAGCAGCAGCAGGAAGCATCAAGGAAGGAGCAAGAGGACGAGGCGAGTCAAGTGCAACCCAACGGGTTCACCAAGGCTCAGCTGACCGTCCTGCGTGCGCAGATTTTCGCTTTCAGGCGCCTCAAGGTATGCTTTGTGTGGGCTGTGGCGAGATGCAGTGACAATTAGGCATCCATTCCAGTTTTGGGAATCCTCAAAACGTGGGTTACTGTGGTGCTGCTGTGCTGTCTGTAGGCACTAACCACCACCAGTTCACTTTCTCACCCCCTCCTTCCGCCTTTTTCCTCAACGTTTTTCCCAAATATTTCCCCAACTGTGTCCCCAACCGTTTTCCCACCTCATCTTCCCCCTTTTCCTGCTCTTCGCTTGCAGCGTGGGGACCTGCAGCTTCCCCCAGAGATTCTCAACTCTATCACTCCTCCTCCGCTGCCACCCAACCTTAGACGCGCACAGCCTGCCGCCACTGCTGCAGCTTCTACTGCTGCTGCTGCTGCCGCTGCTGCTTCTGCAGCTGTAATTCCTGCAAGTTCAGGTGATGGTGCTGCTGGCAGTGCTGTTGGTGCTGCTGGTAGTGCTGCTGCTGGCATGGGTGTAAAGAGCGTGGGAGCAGCAGGAGCTGCTGCTGTGAAGGGGATGACAGTAGGCGGTGGATTGCCAGGTGTGAAGGCTGGGCCTGCTGGTGCTCCTGCTACTGTTGGAGCTACATCTGCTGCTGCTGGTGCTGTTTCTGCAGCTGGTGCATTGATGCAGCAGACAACACAGCGGAAGCAGCAGCAGCAGCAGCAGCAGCAGCAGCAGCAGCAGCAGCAGCAGCAGCAGCAGAAGCAGCGGCAGAAGGCTGTTCAGGCACAAGCAGCCGCCGTTGCACCTGCTGCTGCTGCTGCAGCTGCAGCTTCAGCTGCCACTGCTCCCGTTTCGGCCTCTCTTCCTGCTGCTGCTCCTGCTGCCGTCTCTGCTGCAGCTGCAGCCGCTGGCACGGCTACCGCTCCTGCTGCTGCTGCTACAGCTGGTTCTGCTGTTCCAGCTGGTGCTGCTGCTACAGCTGGCGCTGCTGTTGCTACCACTGCTGCTGCTGCTGCAGGTAGGGTGATTGGGAGGGGAGGGCGGGTACTTCTAACAGATGAGGAGAGGAAGCAGCGGAAAGCTGATGCGAAGAAGAGGAGGAGGAAGGAGCTTAGGGAACAGAGGCTGCTGCTGCAGCAGCAGGAGCGGGAGAGAAAGCAGAAGGAAGAGGAGGAGCGGAGGAGGAAGGAGGGGGAGGAAGGTGGGGAGAAGCAGGAGCAGGCTGGGGGAGGGGAGGGGGAAGGGAAGGGGAAGGGGAAGAGGAAAGGGGGGGAGAAGCAGGTGGGATCGCAGGCACGGAGTTCCCAAGGGCTTGCTGCTGCGGCCACTTCAGGTATGCAGCAGCAGAAGCAGCAGCAGCAGATGCAGCAGGCACAGACCATTGCTCAGATGAAGGGGCTTGCTGCTGCAACCGCAGCTGCCGCAGCAGCAGTAGCAGCGGGAGCAGCGGGAACAGCAGGTGCCACTGCCACAGGTGCAGGGCCGAATGCGCTAGCACAACCTGGTTCAATTACCGGAAGTGCTGCTGCTGCTGCTGGCCTGATTTCCTCGAAAGCTACATTGAGGCAGCAGCAGGCTGAAGCCGTGCTGCTCAAGGGTCCTGCGGCTGCGGCTGCGGCTGCTGCTGCTTCTGCGGCTGCTGATGCTGCTGCTGTGGCGATCCTAGCAGGTGGCAGGCTAGGGGAGGTCCGAAAGGGGTCTGCGGCAAAGGGAGGAGCAGCAGCAGCTGCAGTAGCAGCAGGAGCAGCAGGAGCAGCAGGAGCTGCAGGAGCAGCAGGAGCAGCAGGAGCAGCAGGAGCAGCAGGAGCAGGGCCAGCAGCGGTAGCAGCAGCAGTAGCTCCTTTGAAATGTTCAGCCTCAACCCAGCCTGCTTCTGCTGCTGCTGCAGGCGCAGCAGCAGGTTCGGCAAGAGGCCCGGGCGGAGGCGCGGCAGGAGGTCCCGCCCGAGCTGCGGCTGTGGCCAAGCCGCCAACGCCCCCACCGCCCCCCTCTCCTGCAGCCATTGCTGGCGCGGTAGTGGCTGCTGCTGGGGAGGCGCTAGGGTTTAGAGCCCTTATTCAAGCTGCAATAGCTGAAGGTGTTGCAGGGGGGATGGGGGATGCTGCTGGGGAGGGCGCAGCAGCAGGGGGGGTTGCTGCTGGGGGTGCTTCAGGGGGGTTTGGAGGGAGTTCTGGAGCAGGGTCGGCTGGGGTGGGTGGTGGGAGAGAGGTGGGAGGTTTTGGGGATCTGATTCGTGCTGCAGTGGAAGGTAAGGAAGGCAGGCCGGGGAGGGTTGGAGGAACAGCAGCTGAGGAGATAGTTGTGGGTTCTGCTGTAGAGGAGGTGGATGGAATGGGAGGAGGAGGGACAGGAGAAGACCAGGGAGGAGATGGAGGAGGAGGAGGAATTGGAGAGATGGGAGGGGCAGCAGGAGGAGGAGCAGCGGGAGAAGCAGGAGGGACAGGGGTGCGTGCGGCTTATGAGTCGAGTCAGAAAGCGAGGGTGGCCGAGGCGATAGCGCGAATGAGCCAGCAGGAGGTTCGGGCGGCGCTGCGGCAGGTGCGGTTCGGCACGAACCTGCAGGGGCTGGTTCGGGAGGAGGTGGGGCGGATGGTGCGGGCGAACAGGGAGGCTCGGCTGAGGGAGATTGCTCGACTGTTGGGGGAGGATAATACCCCCTCGGCTGCTGATTTAGGTCCCCTCCCTGCTGCTTCGGGTGCTGTATTTCTCACTTCGAGTGATTCAACTCCTCCCCTTGCTGCTGCACCGAGTGTCATGCCTGACAAAGACCTGCCCCCGCTGCTGCTACTGACAGGAGGGGAGGATGAGCGGGAGGAGCGAGGGGAGGAGGTTGGAGGGGACAGCGTGGAGAAAGAGGGAGGGAATGACGGTGGTGCCGCTGGTGCTGGTGATGCATCGTCTGGGGTGGTGCTGACGCCCAGGGATCGTCTCAAGCTTCGGATTCATCAGAAGATGCTGCGACTTGCCGACTTTCAGGTGTGTTTTCAGGTGCCCAGGTGCTGTGTGATCAGGTGGTTTTCAGTTTGTGCTTGGGAGGAATCTGGTAGCAGAGGAGCAGGAGATTCAAGATATGCCCGACCGCCCATTCCGCTCCTTCCTGTTTTGTGGTTGGTGTGGTTGCCTTGCTTTGCCACGCCAATGCTGCCTCCCCGCTCTTCCTTCCCCCTGCTTCCCTTCCACCCCTCCACAAAACACTTGTCTTGTGTAGGCCAAGGTGAGGAGAGAATTAGTTGCAGAGGAGCAAGAGATTCAAGCCATGCCCGACCGCCCCTACCGCTCCTTCCTGCGCTGGGCCCACCGGCAACGGGCCGAAATCGCCAAGTCGCACGCCGTGACGCGCCGCGCCGCCCGCGACCGGCTGCTCAAGGCCGTCTTCGCCGCCCGGCGGCAGATCCTCGCCGACCGCCAGTTGGCGGCGCGCGACGGGCGGGCGGCGCGGAACCGGCACGTAGTGAGGTTCCACGAGCAGGCGGCGCGGGAGGCGGCGAGGCGGCGAGAGGAGGAGCGGCAGAAGCGGGTGGAGATGTTACTTAAGAGTAACGACATGGAGGCTTATCGGGCTATGCTGGAGGAGGAAAAGGAGAAGGCCGGGGTTGGGAAGGGTGCGAAGGAGAGGTTTGAAATGCTGAGCTCGTTTTTGAGCCAGACGGAGGAGTATTTGCGGAAGCTGGGGGGGAAGATCTGTGCGGCTAAGAGCGTTCAAGAGGTGGAAGAGGCTGCTGTTGCTGCTGCTGCCGAAGCCAGGGAGAAGGTGAGCGGGCGGGGTGGGCCATGAATGAAGGCTCTGTCAGGCTTGAAATGCTCAGCTTGTCTTGAGTAGGGTTCAGTCAGATTTTAGGTTTGTGCAAGCTTGGGGGGAAGATCTGTGCGGATAAGAGTGTTCAAGAGGTGGAAGAGGCTGCAGTGGCCGCTGCTGCTGAGGCCAGGGAGAAGGTGAGAGACAGAAGTGGGGTGGGTGGGGGGTACTTGCTTTTAAGTCGACTAGAAGGTGACAAAGAGTGTTCAAGAGGTGGAAGAGGCTGCAGTGGCCGCTGCTGCTGAGGCCAGGGAGAAGGTGAGAGTGGTGGGCGGGCGAGCACTGATAATATGGATGGTATGTGAGGGGAGGAGGAGAGGAGGAGGAGGAGAACGAGAGGGTGGGGAGGGAGAGAGTGAGGATATGTACGAGATGACCTCTGATATGCTGAGCTCGTACTGAGTGAGATGAGAAGATGGAGGGAGGAGTATTTGCGGAAACGGTCGGCAGGTTTTTCATGTTCCGCCCTCGGGCCCCCCCCGACTCCCTTCCTCCCCACTCCTCTCCAAACCCCCCTTTCTTTCTCCATCCCTCAGGGTATGAGCGAGGAGGAGGTGGAGGCGTACGTGCAACGAGTGGTGGCCAGCCTGTCTCGTAACGACGGTCCCGAGGGAGAGGAGGTTGGAGGAGAGACAGGCGCGGCTGCTGTGTCCAAGTGAGTCCCGTCCCTTGTCTTCCTTGTTTGTGCTGTGCACTCTGGAGCCTCACACACACTTGTTCCGAGGGACCCAGGGGAGATGGGCCAGAGGCTGGTAGCCGGCCTGTCCCATGACAACGGTCCCGAGGGAGACGGGGTTGGAGGAGAGACAGGCGCCGCTGCTGTGTCCAAGTGAGTTGAAACGCTGAAGTGATTCTTGTTTCCTTGTTGCACCCCTTACCGGGATGTCTCGCTACGACGGTCCCGAGGGAGAGGAGGCTGGAGGAGAGACAGGCGCGGCTGCTGTGTCCAAGTGCGTGCGAATTTGAGGGGTGGTTTGTAGAATTACCCTGAGAAAGTGGGGCGCTATAACAGTGGGATGGGATGCTATTCCTTTTTTTTGTTTCTTTTTTTGGAGGGGTGGGGGAAGAGGAGGGGGGAGGGTTGTTTTCGTTTCGTTTTGTTTCGTTGCTCAATCCCCTCTCATCCCCTTCACTATTGTCACATCCATGCAGGTACTACAAGCTGGCTCACTCTGTCTCTGAGACCATCACCCACCAACCTTCGATGCTGCGCATGGGCACCCTGAGGGAGTACCAGATGGTGAGTGCTGCGGAGTGTGGTGCTGGAGTCTCAAATGGTTTCAAATAGAGCATTCACGAACTACAAGCTGCCTCACTCGGTGGGTCTCTAAGACCATCACCCACCAGCCGTCCATGCTGGTGGGTGATGGTGAGTAGGAGCCAGCCATGCTGGATACCAGATGGTGAGTAGGAGCCAGCCATGCTGGTGAGTGACAGGTTTGAGAGTTCCACTCCGCAAGGCTGGTATTCTGTGGGTGGGGAGACTGAGAGACTTACACCGAGTAAATCCCTGCAACTTCAGAATATCGTCCTTTTGACTCTCCCCAGTGTAGATTCATCTTCTCCGCTCTCCTTCTCCCTCCCTGCCCCCTTCTTTCTGGATGTAACCGTATGTGTAACCCTATCCCCCCTCCCACTCTCCGGTGTAACCTTATACTCCTTATGCAGGTGGGGCTGCACTGGATGGTATCACTCTACAACAATCGCTGCCATCCTCTCTCTCACCTCCTACTCTCTTTTCTTACTTGTGTAACCCAATATCCTGTTGACTGGTAACCAGGTGGGGCTGCAGTGGATGGTATCGCTCTACAACAATCGGCTCAACGGCATTCTGGCAGACGAAATGGGCCTGGGGAAGACAGTGCAGGTGGGTGCAGTGCGGTGCAGGATGGGTGCAGTGCGGTGCTGGATGGGTGCCGTGCGGTGCTGGTAGGTGCAAGTGAGTGATTGGTGGTAACCAGGTGGGGCTGCAGTGGATGGCATCACTCTACAACAATCGCCTCAACGGCATTCTGGCGGACGAAATGGGCCTGGGGAAGACAGTGCAGGTGGGTGCAGTGCGGTGCTCGTAGGTGCAATGCGGCGTGTGAGTGAGGGAGCGAGTGAGGGAGTAAGGGAGAAAGTGAGGGAGTGAGTGAGGGAGCGAACGAGTGAGCGAGGGAACAAGTGAGGGAGTGAGTGAGGGAGCAAGTGAGGGAACGAGTGAGGGAGTGAGTGAGGGAGCAAGTGAGGGAACGAGTGCTGTTCATTTCCGTTCCCCGCCCATCTCCCCCCACCAGGTCATAGCCCTTCTCACCTACCTGATGGAGCACAAGAGCAACTACGGCCGTCATCTAATCATCATGCCACCCTCCACTGTTGCTGCGCTCTCTTTTTACACCTGCCACCTTGCCACACATCTCGCCCTCACAGGTCATGGCTCTGCTCGCCTACCTCATGGAGCACAAGAGCAACTACGGCCCGCACCTCATCATCGTGCCCAACGCCGTGCTGGTGAATTGGAAATCGGAGCTGCATGCGTGGCTGCCCTCCGTTTCCGCTGTCTTCTATGTGGGAGGCAAGGAGCAGCGCGCCAAGCTCTACACCAAGGTGGGTGAGTTGTGACTCCCTGTGTATCCTTGTTGTTGTGGAAGCAAGAATGTCCCAGTGGGTACCTTTGGTCTTAGTGGTCGCGGGTTCAACTCTCATCGGCAGCACCTTCTCTTCTCATTATGCCGAACATGACACTCCCACACTCCACCACACTCACCCACAGTGAAGTGTGGTCACAGTTGGCATTACCATCTGTCCACCCATCCCATACTCACCTTGTTGGCTCCTATGGTGTGCCACATGCTGCCATGTAGGCTGTTGTTCCAGCCTGGCCCACATGTGCAACATGTGGCCTCAATTGCTAGCTTGGCAAGGTTGGCTAGCCCTGCCCTCAGCTTTGAGGTGCTGCAGCTAGCCTCAAGAGTTCAGCCACATAAATGTGGTTTCCCACTTCTCTAGAACTCATCCTTGGAAAGGACATTGCTCTAGCCTTTCAGGCTTGTACCATCTTCCTACTAAGGATATATTGTTCTTCTCTCATTGTGCCTCAAGTTCACCGATCCTCATTCTACATGCTATCAGAGCAAGGCTTCTAGCTTAGTGAACGTTGCACACTTCATGGCTCAAGTTGAAACGCCTCTCGGTCGGCACACCCTTCCCACCTTGGAACCAGATGGTTCCAACTTCATTCCATGGAAGAAAAAGATCTGCTACATCTTCAATGTCCTTGGGCTGATCTCCCTCCTTGGAGATCCCAAGGTTGCTTCGCGTCCTTCAATCTCCTCTTCCACAACCAGCGGTGGAGAGACTACCGAAGGCAACAGCGGTGCAGCCCCTAAGACAGCCCATTCGATTGCTTCGCTGCCGGATGAAGAAAAAGAGGAGCATGCATACTATCTTCTCATGTCAGCCGTCCATCCTCAACTATCGCTCACTCTTGCTCAAGCCAACACGACAAAGGATATGTGGGGATGCATCATGGCGCGGTTCGACTGCATGGGCAACCATGCACAAGTGGCTCTCCTCCGGGATCTCATCACTACACGGATGGACCCAACAACAAGTCTTCGCTCCTACTTTGATCGAGTTGGAAACCTTACACACCAACTCAAATCTGCCGGCTTTGAGCTACCATCATGGGTGGTGGTAATCTCCATCATCCTCAACCTTCCGGACTCGTTCAAGACCCTTACTGAAACCATTTGCACCGTGAAAGACATAAAGTCTATGACGGTTGAATACCTACAGTCACGCCTACTCGATGCCGATTGGGAGCGATCACAATCTGGTACAAGCCGTAACATGGAGGGTGCATACAGCCTCAATTCCCAGCCCTCCCACCCTCTTCGCTCCGGTTCACGCCAGTCGCCCACCTGCCGTTACTGCAAGAAAACTGGTCACACCATCGATGAATGCTTCAAATTGAAGAAGAAGAAAGAGCTTGAAGAAAGCTCTAAACGGGAGAAATCCGTCTTCCAACCCTCGGTGCATGTATCCACCAGCTCCTCTGCTGAAGCTATTCCGACCCCCACACCACCTCCTGCCCCATCAACCCCTCAGTCCGTACCTGATTCCCGGTACGTGGACATTGCTGTCAGCACCAGCCACCACCCCATCTTCTCCACATGGACTCCTCTCGTCGCTGCTGTCTTCATTCTCACCATCCTCCTTCTCCTCCTCCTCTTCCCTTATGGGGCTCCCTACGCATCGGCATTCACGGCCTCGTCATTCAATATGGAGCGGACTTCGTCGTGGCTGGTGGACAGCGGCGCATCCTCCCATATCTGCTCGGATCGTTCGCTGTTTTCGTCTCTCAAGAAGCCCAACGAAGAGATCCTTGTTCGTTTTGGTGGAGGAGAGACTTACAAGGTCTTGGGAGTCGGCACGGTGGTGGCTACTCTTCGGTCACCAACATCGGAAACCACCATTCAGCTTGACAACGTTCTATTTCTCCCTTCATCAGTTCACAACCTGCTCTCTGTTCGTGCGCTTGGTGCTGCCGGCGTTGCCGTCTCGTTCCCCGCTGCTGGGCGCGTTGTTCTCACATCTGATGACGTTCCTATTGGCGAGGGCTACACCCGCAACAATCTGTTTTATCTTCAACTGCATCATGGGAGCAGTGCTGCTCCTTCTATCAAGCCAACTGCATGTCCAGCCTCCACCACCACCTCCTCGTACCTCTGGCATCGTCGTTTCGGGCATCTCAACATGCAGGCCTTGTCAACACTTCATCGGCAACAGCTGGTCACCGGTCTTCACCTCTCCTCCACCTCGATTCCCCCCTGCATCTCGTGCTATCGTGGGAAACAAACACGTCAGCCATTTGGCGTGTCCCATTCTCGCACCACAGCCCCACTCCAACTCATTCACTCAGATATTGCTGGACCGCTTTCATATGGAACTACCATTGGCGGCGCTCGCTACCTTCTCACCTTCATCGACGACTACTCCCGCCACATTACAGTGTATCTCCTACGCCACCGGTCGGAGGCACTTTCATGCTTCAAGGCTTACGTCACTCGGGTGCACAACATGCATTCCCCACACACCATCAAAACCTTTCGCTCTGACGGTGCCTTGGAGTTCACTTCCAAAGCCTTCACTTCATTCCTTACAGCTCATGGCATCGCCCGCCACCTCTCCACGCCATACACACCTGAGCAAAATGGAGTAGCTGAGCGGGCCAACCGGACTTTACTTGAGATGGTCCGTTCCATGCTCCATGATGCACACATGGACAAAGGCTGGTGGGGTGAAGCCGCTCTTACTGCTGCCTATCTTCGTAATCATGCCATTAGTCGGGGTGGTTCAACTTCTAAGACTCCCATGGAACTATGGACCGGTGCATGTCCGGATGTATCACACCTCCGCATCTTCGGTTCACCCGTCTCGGTCCTCATTCCTTCCCAACGGCGTTCTAAGCTCGACGACCGAAGCACGGCCGGCATCATGGTTGGATATGGTCATCTCGACGGCACCAAAGCTTACCGCATCTATATCCCATCTCAGCACCGTGTCATTCTTTCTCGTGATGTCATCTTCATGGAGCCCTCTGCACCGCCTTCCGACGACTCTCGCGACCCTCCATCGTCATCTCCACCCACATCCTCCTCACTACCTCCTCCTACACACCCTTCTTCCTTGGACCCAATCTCCCCTCCCTCTCCTTCCCCCACCATACCTTCCTCCACCAACCCCCACCCACAATCCCCAAACCTGCCCGCACCAGCCACATCTTCTCCTCCTCCATTGTTTTCCAACCTTCCTCTGCCCTCGACGCCGCAAGACTTTCACCTTCCATCCTTCTCTCCTCCCTCTTCGCCTCCCCCTCCCCATTGCACGACTCGCTCCTCCCCGCCATCCCCCTCAGCTCTTCCCGATCCTTCCCTTTTCTCCTTCCTCAAGGTCTTACCATCCCCTTCCGAACCCATTGACTTCACTCTTCCTCCTCTTTCCAACACCTCTGCCAATGCTGCCCTTCACCATCATTACGAACCTCAAACCATTCATGAGGCTCGTACCGGCCCTGATGCTGCCGAATGGATCAAGGCTGCTGATGCGGAACTCGCTGCCCTGCACGCTAATGACACCTACAGCATTGTTCCTCGACCACCCAAGTGCAAGCCGATTCCATGCAAATGGATTTTCAAGGTCAAGGAGAACGCTGATGGTTCTATTGAACGCCGCAAAGCCCGCCTTGTTGTCAAAGGCTTCAAGCAACGTGATGGTGTTGATTTTCATGACACCTTTGCTCCTACCGTCCGCTTCGCCACCCTCCGCTTGTTTCTCACCATAGCTGCCGCTTTCAACCTGGACGTCCATCAGCTGGACATCTCCAACGCCTTCCTCAACGGCACCCTTGATGAGATTCTCTACATGATGCAGC